CACCACCGCACATGCTGTGTCGCCCGGTCCTGTCCGTCTCCTCAGGGTCACCACCGCACATGCTGTGTCCCCCGGTCCTGTCCGTCTCCTCAGGGTCACCACCACACATGCTCTGTGTCCCCCGGTCCTGTCCGTCCCCTCAGGGCCACCACCGCACATGCTGTGTCGCCCGGTCCTGTCCGTCTCCTCAGGGTCACCACCGCACATGCTGTGTCGCCCGGTCCTGTCCGTCTCCTCAGGGTCACCACCGCACATGCTGTGTCCCCCGGTCCTGTCCGTCTCCTCAGGGTCACCACCGCACATGCTGTGTCGCCCGGTCCTGTCCGTCTCCTCAGGGTCACCACCGCACATGCTGTGTCCCCCGGTCCTGTCCGTCTCCTCAGGGTCACCACCACACATGCTCTGTGTCCCCCGGTCCTGTCCGTCTCCTCAGGGCCACCACCGCACATGCTGTGTCGCCCGGTCCTGTCCGTCTCCTCAGGGTCACCACCGCACATGCTGTGTCGCCCGGTCCTGTCCGTCTCCTCAGGGTCACCACCGCACATGCTGTGTCGCCCGGTCCTGTCCGTCTCCTCAGGGTCACCACCGCACATGCTGTGTCGCCCGGTCCTGTCCGTCTCCTCAGGGTCACCACCGCACATGCTGTGTCGCCCGGTCCTGTCCGTCTCCTCAGGGTCACCACCGCACATGCTGTGTCCCCCGGTCCTGTCCGTCTCCTCAGGGTCACCACCGCACATGCTGTGTCCCCCGGTCCTGTCCGTCTCCTCAGGGTCACCACCGCACATGCTGTGTCCCCCGGTCCTGTCCGTCTCCTCAGGGTCACCACCGCACATGCTGTGTCCCCCGGTCCTGTCCGTCTCCTCAGGGTCACCACCGCACATGCTGTGTCCCCCGGTCCTGTCCGTCTCCTCAGGGTCACCACCGCACATGCTGTGTTCCCCGGTCCTGTCCGTCTCCTCAGGGTCACCACCGCACATGCTCTGTGTCCCCCGGTCCTGTCCGTCCCCTCAGGGTCACCACCGCACATGCTGTGTCCCCCGGTCCTGTCCGTCTCCTCAGGGTCACCACCGCACATGCCCTGTGTCCCCTGGTCCTGTCTCCTCAGGGTCACACCACCCACGCTTGGCTGTCCCCCAGTCGTATACATCTCAAAATACTCTAACACGTGAGGCTGCCCATCAACTTAATTTTCTTTAATAGGTCTCTTTTGGAACCTTCTGACCTGCTCCCATCAGGAGCCTCCTGTGCAGCTCTTACCCCACCCCCATCACTGCCTCTCTGGGTCAGACCCCTTTCTCCTGGGTCCAGTGTCTTCTTTTCTGACTTGGTTCCTCCTTTAGGGAACGCTCCCTCCGGTAGGAGCCTAGAACGGTGCAAGTGCAGGTCTGAGAGGCCGCGTGCTCAGGAAACATCTCCGTTCACCGTCACGCTTGCCATGAGCTGCGGTGGGTGTACGGCTCTAGGTTGGAAGGGGTTTTCCTTCAAAGAAACCGGGTAGCTCCCGCTGCTGGCGGTGCACCCAGCGCCGTTCTTCATTCTGAGCCCTGCCCCCTCCCCCCTCGATGCTCAATATCTTGTCTCTGCCTCCACTGCTTTCAAATTTACCAGTTACGGGGTGTCTGGGTGGGTCAGTCAGTTAAGCGTCCGACTCTGGCTCAGGGCATGATCTCTCAGTCTGTAGGTTCGAGCCCCGCATCGGGCTCTGTGCTGACAGCTCAGAGCCTGGAGCCTGTTTGGGATTCTGTGTCTCCTTCTCTCTGCCCCTCCCCCACTCACGCTCTCTCTCAAAAAAAAAATTTCAATAACTACTTTCACATCTTATATTGGGGCCTTTCATTCTGGAAAGTTGCTCTTCAGTTACCATTCAATTAAAAGTATTTTCTAGCCTCTAATGGCATTTCTTCTTTGGCCCATGTGTATTTTTAAAGTCCCTAAGTGTTCTTATTTTAGTGGTCTCCTCGTTACCGGAGCCCTCCTTCGTCAAACTGAGGTCAAAGAACGTGATCTGTAGCCTCTGACCTCGCTGCTCAGCTACTGGAATCTGCTTCGTGTCCTGGCACACGGTCAGCTTTTAGAATGTTCCGTGTGCACTAAGCACAGGTTTTTTCCAATGGGCACGGACGGGTCACGCTTACCGACTGTGGCGCGTCCCTGCGTGTTCATCAGGGGCCTGCACTGCCGTGGGAGAAGCTGGCGTGGGGACGGAAGTGAGAGGAGAAAGGAAACGTAGGGAGTAAGAGCCAAGGAAAGAAAACTGACAAACAACGGAGGGAAATCAGCGAGGCCAAAGCTGGCTCTGCCTCAGCCGGACTGACGGGGGTGGGGGTGAGAGGGAGCAGAACCCAGCAGCCACCACAGGTCTGACAGACTTCAAGGGAATGACGACGCCAGTTGTTTTGACAACTCGGATGAAATTCCTTGACGAACAGGCACCAGGATAGAAAATCCAAACAGCCTCGCGTCTAGTCTTAAAAATCGAGTTCTCAACCAAAGTCTTGGCACCGGGAACACGGCGGCCGGGCGGCTCCAGCAGGAGGCTCACGCACGTCGAGAGAGAAGGAGCGCCACTCCCGCCCCGGCCACAGCACAGCCTGGCAAGGGACGCTCCGGCTCGCCTCAGTCTGACGTGACGGCAAGTGCGACAGACTTCACGCGGCAAGAACAGGCCCACGGGCCAGTGTCCCTCAGGGGTACAAGCAAGTGTCCCCAAGCACGCGTCAGGGAGGGGACAGCGTGGGGACCAGGGGCCCCGTCCAGGAACGCAGGCTACCCGAGCATCCGAAAATCAGTGAGCCTCCCCCGCAGTAACTCAGTCCAGATGCAAACCTTTGTGTCATCTCGGTGACAACTTTCACCGTCCCTCACGGAGAGCTCCCGGCAGCTCGGACACGACCCTCCGACCAGGGAAAGCCGCAGCTAACACGACGGGGGGAGCTGACGCGACTCCATGAAGACTGGAGCCGGACAGGACGTCCCCTGCACGGGCTGGACAAGCCACCCAGTGCGCAGAGAAGCGACACAGGTCAGCGTGCAGACACGCGGGGATGCGGGGCCAGGACGAGAGGTCATCGTGTGAAAACGGCGGAAGCAAGTGAGAACACACTGCTGACAGCGGCGCACGGCACGGAATACCTGGGAACAAGCGGAAGGGAGACGTGCAGGGTGTGTGCAGAGGGACGCAAGGCGGGCTGAATAAACGGGCTCACACACACGTGACGGGCCCGAGAGACTCGGCCCTAACATGTCGATGCTCCCCAAAGTGCGCCACGTACTCACGGGATCCCTGTCAAAATTCTAGTCGGTTTTGTTAAAACCAAGAGCTGACTCGGATGCGTATGGAAACGCAGAAGACCAGGAATGAGACTTCAAAACCAGGGGGAAAATGCACACCACCTGATTCCGAGCCTGTTCTAAAGCTACCGTCATCCAGACAGCGACAGGGTGAGGCCAGTCTAGAAGGAGCCGCACGCGTGTCACTTGAGTTTTCACAAAGGCACCAAACCAGGAAACAGAGACGAAGACGCCCGTTCGAAAACCAGTGCCGGGACGCAAGGAAACACGCGGACGCCGCCTGGGTCTGTTGGGGCCGCATTGGCGACGCAGACTGGTGGGCCGCACGGCAGCACCTGTCGGTTCCGGGGGCCAGAAGTGACGATCGAGGTGCGGGCAGCCAGCGGGGTGTCTGGCGGCGCCTGCTTCCTGGCCCACAGACGCCGACTTGTCACTGCGTGCTGGCGCCGGGGAGGGGCGCGGGGCCCTCTGGGGCCTCCTCCGCCCCTCTCTCCTGATCCGACTGCCCCCAGGTCCCATTCCTACACCCTCACCGTGGGCATTAGGTTCTGCTGTGTGGATCTGGGGGGACCCAGGCCACGTAGTCGGCTGTAGGAGAGGAGCCAGGCGGGCCTCTCCACCTGTTGAGCTGGGGGTGGGTTCCAGAGCACACACTCGGGAGGACTCCCTCGGCACTGAGGGGAGCCTGGGGGCCCGACACCCTACCACCCCCTCCAGCGGCGGAGGCAGCGGCAGACCATGAAGACCCATCCGGGTCTCCGGCACCTCTGATGTCTGAGAACCAAGAGCTCCCTCAAGTCGTCAGTTTCTCAGGTGGTAAAATGAGTCAGGCATCCTACTCTGTCTGCCTCCATGTTCTGGGTCCGACCTCCTCCCAGGCCCTGCACCCCACATGGGGGCGCTCAGAACACGTGTGTGGCCTGGAGCACGGAGTCCCACAGGCAGCCCCGCAGCCACCTGGCAACCCGCCCTCCTCTGGGCCTTGGCCGCCCCGAGTGGTCCGTCACCGTGCCCTGCCCGTCGGCCCTGGCAACAGCCGTGTGCCATGTGTGCTGTGAGGGACGCCCCGGCCAGCCCGACACGATGTGGAGGTCCAGGGAGGCTCCTGTGCTGGGGAGCACAGCAGGAAGGCTCGCCCCTCACCCAGTGGCCCAGCGGTCCACGTGGGAGCCCGTGGCGGGCGCCTCCCTGCTCGGCTTTACTGCGTCCTAACACGCCCAGTCGGCACGCCACCCTTGCACTTGACTCTTCTCACAGTAACGGCCAAAGGGATGTGCTTGGTGGAGCCCAACGTTCCAGCGGAGACCCACGTATGGCGGATGCCACACTGCAGCGCTGGGACCCGGGAACAGTGTCAGGGCCCCGCGGGGACGTCTGCTGTGAAGTCAGAGAACGGTCCCCGCGGAGCATCACGTCCGAGACAGTCAGGTGCTTCTGTGGGACGCAGAGGCCCACGGCCAACTGCAGGGGTGGGCAGGGAGGGGCCCGAGCCCCTAGCAGGCCTGGCCCAGGCCACCCCTCCCCGCAGCTCCCAAGTGTCAAACCAGGGGGACCGTGGCCCTGCAGGCCCTCGGCCCTCCCACCCGCCCACCTCCAGCAGCAGAGAAGTGGGGGGGGCTGAGGCGTGGGGGCGGGGGTGAGGCATGGGGGCAGGGTGAGGTGTGCAGGCAGATGAGGAACAAGACGCAGACCCAGTGAGACCACCGAGCGACTGTCAGATCACAGACCATTTAAATCCCGCGACATGCTTTTCCAGACGCGGTATCTCCAGGGGCAGATTCACAAGTCTGACCCCCCCCCCCGGGCACTTGGGGAATCGGAGCAGGCCTCCCCGGACACCCAGCCAGTCCCCGCCGCGCCTCCTCCAAAGTCCTGTCCATGTCAAGCGCCACCACGGAGCACCCGGCGCGTCCTCAGGCGGAGCCCGGCCCCGGCGCCCGCTCCTTCCAGCCGTCAGAGTTCGTTGTGACGCGCTCTGGAGACGCGGACCGACAGGTCCTGTAAGTGCTTCTTTACCTGGAAGCAAGGGCAGGGGTGAGTCCGGCAGCCATCTGCCCGAAGCACGACGCGCACGGTCTTAAACGTGAAGACTCCTGAGCTCCTGCCTCAGTTTACAGCTCCACCCTCCGGAAGCTGCCCAAAACAGATCACAAAAGCAGCCGCACACCAGCTGGAACACGGCCACCCGGTGCTAGCGACACACGGTGAGAGACCGATCACCGAAAAAGAGCAGCGTTTCTGTCGTCCGCCCCGCTCGCTTTCAGAAGCGGCTGCCTCTGCGGGGCGCCTGGGTGGCTTAGTCGGTTAAGCGTCCGACTTTCGCTTAGGTCATGATCTCGCGGTTCGTGGCTTCGAGCCCCGCGTCGGGCTCTGTGCTGACTGCCAGCTCAGAGCCTGGAGCCTGTTTCAGTCTGTGACTCCCTCTCTCTCTGACCCTCCCCTGCTCACGCTGTCTCTCTCTCTCTCTCTCTCAGAAATAAAAANAAAAAAAAAAAACTTAAAAAAAAAAAAAAAAAAAAGAAGCGGCTGCCTCTGGGAACCCGCCTCTGGAACCTGCCGTCCGGCCCCACTGAGTCCACTCCAGGCCCGTCTCCCGCCCGGCACGTGCCCTTCTCCCGTGGCGGCGAAGCACGGACCACTGCTTGCTTGCATCCCCCATGACAGTGGATCCCTCCCACCCCGGCCATCCTTGCCCCACGGTGTCGCTCTGGAACCAAACCCACCCGCCCCCCACGGGCCGCTTACCCTCTCCCCGACGCTGCGCCCCACACAGGCGCAGACCCCCCCCCCCCAACACTCATGTTACTTCTGCCCTGTTTCACTTAAAAGTTTGAGTCTGAACAGGTAGGACCTCCATGTGGCTCCAGATTCAGAGACACAGAAGGTCCCTCCTCCCTCCTTCGCTCCCTCCAGAGACAGCCCATCCCATGTTTCCAGAATGTTCTGTGTGTCCAAGCCTAGGCTTGTGCCCCTCCTCAGAGCATTCATGCCGCCCTGCTGCCTCTTTTTCCCGTGGAGTCTGGCCCAGGAGCTCTCCTGTATCAAGAGCCCAACCTCAGTGCCTGGAGGCCCCGATCTGCAGGTCACCAGCAGCAACCGAACTGGCCCCGGAGGGACCCGCTCTGCTCAGGCCACACCTGCCTCTGCCCTGGGACGGCTCCCATCCCCACGAGACCAAACGAGGCGCCCACTCGCACCACACCAGAGTCTTGAGGGACCGCCCTGCCACAGGCACGCAGACATGCCAAAGCCACTGCCTCCCACATGCGCCCACGCTCACTCCCACGCAGGGTCACCCGACTGAGTACAAGTTGGTGGCACATGTGTCCCCGCTCTAAACAGGCCCAGAGAGAAGCCCTCTCCTTGGAAGCAGGCGTGTGGCTGCGACAGGTGCTCCCCCAGGCGCAGAAGACTCCTCCCCCCCAGAGGAGGGGGAGGTGCACACGCCGGGCGAGGGAAGGGGGAAGGGGATGCTGTCGGGGGGCGCAGTCCCGGCGGCCGGTCCCCGCAGACAGCGCGCCCACCTTGTAGCCCAGCTCCTTGGTCTTCTCCTCCAGCATGGCGTAGCGCTCTTTGTTCCGGCTCACGTGCTCTTGGTCCCCGAGGCTCTCCACGTGCTTCAGCTTCTGGTGAGAGATTTCCAGCTGCTTCTGGTAGTGGTTGTGCTTCTCGATTTTGGCTTCGAAATGCTTAAGCTCCTCCTAGAATAACGTTTGAACAGCCGACTGTCCCCCAGTGGACCCCCGTGCCACTCCAGGGTCCCCGGGAAAACCTCCCTACAGCCACACGCCCTCTGAGGGTGTGCACACTGGGCCCCTCAACGTGCGGCCTGACGGGACAGCTCCAGGGCGCCATCCCCGCCGCCCCCCGATCCGGAAGTGGAAGGGAGCACTCCTACCGCTGGAGGTGCCCCGACCCGGCGGCCTACGCGGGCCACCTGCCCCCACGCCCCCGCATCTGGCTTCCTCTAGCCCCGACCCCACTTCCAGCCTGACACCTGGGGCGTGGGCTTCAACCACGACCGTGTGCGCTGTCCTCCCCTCTGTCCCCATGGCCGTCTGTCCCATCTGGAGCGGCCGCCAGCTTGGAATGGCTCTGAGACACCACCCTTCCCACCTCTCCTGCCCACACAGTGCTCTCCGATCGGGCTCGCTGGCCGGTCCCCCACATCCTGGTCTCGGCTGACTGGTCAGGACCTCCAGAGCGGGGCCAGGTGTCCTGTCCAGGGCCCACGAGGGCCGACACCACGACACCACACTTCCCTCTGAACTGGGCCGACCTCCACAACGGCGGGCCTGCCCACCCGGCCACAGACGGACGCCAATACGGGCCGGCCTCCCTGCCACCTCTCTTGCCGCAGCGTCCCGGTTCTCACGCCACTGAGGACTCCTCGGGGCCCCCTCTCTGCCCTCCCTGCCCTCCCTGCCCCCGGGACTGTGGGCCAAACCCCTGTGTGAGCTCAGCCGCGGCCTCCAGGGCCCACATCTCAGAATGAGCCCTGGCTCCACGGGCCGCACTCAGAGCCCTGCACCCCCAGGCTCCTGTCCCAGCAAATGGCAGCTTCTCGCCTCTACCCTTCTGATCCCTGACCCACTGGCCTAGGGAGGGTTGGTCACAGCATGACCCGCACCAAGGCGACACTCAGGGAACCCAAAGGCCCTTCCCTCCGGGCCCGCCGCCAGGGCCCCACGTGGGGTCTGCCGTTCTCCTCCGGGGCCTTCTGGGCCCGCGTGCTTCCACACCAGCCCTCTGTCCTCACACCCTGGGCATCCAAAGCTGAGCTGGACCCTCCATTCACTGGAGACCAGCACTGTCCCCAGACGTGAGCACGGCGGTCCCACAGGGCCACCAGCCAGTGCGGTGGAGGGACACAGGGCAGTAGGGAGAAAAGCCTGTGAAAACACCGCTCCGTGAACCACGCCACGGGGACGGGCCTCGCCGCGCTAGGAACGAGCTTAGGCGCCCAAATGCCGTGAGCCAGCGTCTCCCAGCACCTTCCTTACCCGAAAGGACTCCAGCTCCTTCTCGGTGAAGTTGGCGGACTTGGCCATGTCCCACAGATCTATCACTCGGGGCTCCTCGAACTCTGGGGGGAAGGAGAAGCAGCCCACGTGACTAGGGTGGCTCCCCTGAGACGCCCGGGGCAGCCTGCGCGCCTAGACTTGTGTGCACGCTGTGTGCTCGTGTGTGTGCGTCCAGTGCCCTCGGGAAGGAACGAGTGTTGTTCCCACGTGCGCTCCGCCTATGGCTCAAGGCACCGCCGGCATGTGGTCTTGGCAATGCTCTCACTGCCCCTGGTGTGCGAGCACGAGCACGGGCCGCGTCTCTGACGGGGAGGGTCCCACCTGGTGCAGAGCCGCCTCAGGCAGGCATAGGGGAGGGGGGAGTCTTGGGGCCTCTGGGCCAGGACTGGGTCATGCTACCCACAGTTCTGGGCTGAAGCTCAGGCCACTGCCCTTCCTTCTATCTCTGGAGCAAAACTAAGCACCTGGAAAGGACCCGGCCTCGGCCGACACTGCTGAGCAGACAGGGCGACGGGCGCCCCGCTGGGCCACTCACGTCTCCGTCCCTGGAGGGAGACCCGGAGCAGGCAGGGCCCAGCTGCCCACCCCCTCAGCAGATCCCTCCTGCCTAGGGCCCTAAACAGCCTTTGCTGGGGTGTTCTCGAAGGACTGGGTGGGCCGCGGGAGAAGGGGAGTTGCTGCTGGACCTGATCCCTGGAGGAATGGCTCAGGTGTGGGGGGGAAGCGGCAGGGTGGGCAGGTGCCCCCACCGCAGCGGGCAGCCCTGGCACCGTGTCTCCTGACTCGCTGAGGCCCCGGGTCAAGAAAAGCACCTGGCGCACAACGCTCCCCGTGCCTGTGATGGAGAACGCGGAGAACACGTGTGCGACCTAAACCCGGGGGAAAGCGGCAACTAGGCAGGGCTCCTGAGCGGCCGTGGCGCAACCCCCAGCCCCCAGTGGGCCACAGCGGGAGCACCCCCCAGGGAGCAGGGACCCCACGTTGGGGGGGCCACGGGGTGCCTGCCTGGGGGGAGCGGCCCACCCCGCACTCACCGGCCTCGGAGCCGTAGCCCCGGTGGCTGACTTGGCGCAGGCGGTCGTAGCCCTGGTTGATGCGGCGCAGCCGGTCCTTCAGCTCCGCGTGCTTGCTGTGCAGCACGTCCTCCTTGACGCGGCCCACGTCCAACGGACTGATGACGTTCTCCTGGATCTCTGCATGGGAGGGGGCCGTGAGGGGGCGGCCGTGCTGGGCGCGCTGCCGGGGACCGCAGTCCGCTGGCGCACCTGCCCGCGGCCCGGGGCCTACCCGGTGACCCTCCCCGAGCTCCGGGGGTGGCCAACTCTCAGAGGGTGGGGCCTCGTGCAGGGGTGGCTCCCAGGCCGGAAAAGTCACCGCATTGAGGAAACACCCGCGCAGCCGCTAGAGGCGCCCGGCTGGGTCCCCCCACCCCGGGGCCGCAGGCACCTTCGGTTCTGCTCAGGGCGTCCAGCAGCGCGTTGTACTCGCGCACCTTCTCCCGGTGGTGCTGGAACTCCCGCCACAGCTTGGCCAGCTCCTCGTCAGAGAACTTGCCGGACGTCTTCGCCTGGAGGACCGGGCGCTGTGAGCCTGCCCACGCCCCCTGCCCACGCCCCGAGCCACCCCCAGGCTGCTCACCGGCCCGTCCCCAGACCACCGGGCCCCGCCCCCCCAGGCCACCGGGCCCGCCCCCAGACCACCGGGCCCCGCCCCCCCCAGGCCACCGGGCCCGCCCCCAGACCACCGGGCCCCGCCCCCCAGACCACCGGGTCCCGCCCCCCAGGCCCGCCCCCAGACCACCGGGCCCCGCCCCCAGACCAGCCTGCACCCTGGCTCCCCTGTCAAGTGCTGAGTGCGTTCTGGCCTCAATGAGCCTCCAACCAGGGAACGTGGCAGAAAAGTACAAAGCAATGTCACCAGGCGTAGCAGAGGTGTGACAGCCGCCAAAAGTGTGGGAGCTGCAGGGTCCCCAAGGAGGCGAAGTCCCCCTGCCCCGGGAGGGACCTCAGGCCAGTCGCCTCATCGTCATCCACCTGCCCCACAGGAACGAGGGGACACGGTGGCCACAGCGGACTCTCACCCCCCCCATGGTCCCGATGTGGCCGCACCCCTTGGACCAAGGACAAGGGACTGGTGTGAGAATTGAATTCTTGGCCCCACCCAGTGAGGTCCAGACAGAAGCCGGACAGGAGCAGGGATGCAGGAGAGGGGAGGGACTTGCCGTGGCCCACCCACAGCTGCCCGGGGTCCGCACCCCTCAGGAGACCAGAGGCCGCGAGCGCTGTCCCGGCACGCCTGGCCCCCGCCGAGCACACCTCTCTGAACCAGACACCACGAGGCTCAAACCCCAAGTGCCCGGACAGAGAAAACCACAAAGCCCATGCCGCACCGCGAGCCGGGGGTTCGCATGCGACCCGGCCCGCTCTCCTCACTCGGGGCTCCGGCGGCTACACACCACGTGGAGTTCCCTGGCTGGGTGCCCGGGGAAGCAGGGGGGCCTCACGGAGAGCAGCCTCGTGGGTCCACAAAGAGACCACCTCCCCCGAAACGAGCTTCCACGCAGAGCAGAGGCAGCCCCAGCAGCTCCCCCAACTCTCAGCTCCAGGGCGCACGTTGTGGGGACCCCGGGGAGCGCCGAGGGTACCTTGTGCCACAGCTTCTCCAGCTTGGGGTCTCCTAGGCTGTCGTCCTCGGCGGTGTCGCTGAGGTAATTGCTGTTCACGGCCTGGGTGTCCTTTCTCCCGTCCAGGCCGTACTTGGCCAGAATCACTAGGAGAGGGACACGGGGGGTGTTACTCACGTCCGGCCACCGGCCCACTGGCACCGAGAAGACCCAGGGCCCAGGCTCCACACGCCGACCACGGAGCAGTCCCAGAGGCCTCCGAGCACGGCGGGGTAGCCACGCGGGTGGAGGGGGGACTATGTCGCTGGGCTCGCCTGGCCCCGGCCTCCCAAGTCCGAGCCGGCACACTGCGCCGCCCCCTCTCAGGAGACATGGCTACATTCGGCAGCCCGGAAGGCAGAAGAAGGTTCTGGAGTCCAGTAGTGCTGGGTTCGGCACGAGCTGGAGCCAGAAACAAACGCTCAAGCTGGAAGGAGCCCCATGGAGCAGCAAGCCCAGTTCTGCTCATGGGTGAGGACCCCGGGGCCTTGTCACGTCCCCACGTGCCCTCGGGGACCCCTGGTGGCCGTGATGAGGGCTGGGCGCAGGGCAGACAGAGCAGGAACCATCTGCTCAGGACTCAGTGTGGGACGAGGGCCCTCCGTCCAAACTGCCGTCCGGACGAGGCGGATCCAGTGTGGAAGGCTCCTTAAGGTGCTGGGGCAGGGCCAGGCGGCCACACAGCCAGTGAGCCAAGGATGAACTCGGTCACACCTGGTCCTCCCTTTCCTGCCTCAAGTCCTGGTCTGATGCTGCACACTGTGGTCCCCTAGGTGTGGCAACAGCTCCGTTAACGGTACTGGGAACGGGGGTGGGGGGGACTGAGGTGTGCAGGGGCACCCAGGCCACCTCCGGGCCACAGCCAGCTGCCCAGGGAGGGCCGAATGCTCGAGAGCACCTGCCTCGGTGCTCCAGCTTCCCAGACCGCGGCGTCTTCAGCCACCTGGGCCCCCGCACGCACGAAGCCCGCGCCCCACACAGAAAACAGGGCTCCACAGGGAACACGGACTTGGATACCGTATGGGCCGGGAGCCATGCTCAGGAGGCCACAGGGACGAAGGGAGCCGGGAGCTGGCCCCCCTTTCTATGCCCTCCCGCTCCTCTGCCCCGGCTGTGTGCCGTCCACTGGGGACTGATTCCTTCAAAGAGGACGTGCGAACGTTCCGGGCCTCTCCAGTGCCTTCTCTCCTGGTGGTGGTGCCAGGTCAGCTCCTGTCCAGGCCCTGGGGGCGGCCCCCCCCCCACCCGGGCCGGGGCGGCCCCCCCCACACCCAGGCTGGGGCGGCCCCCCCCCCACACCCGGGCCAGGGTGGCCCCCCCCACACCCAGGCTGGGGCGGCCCCCCCACACACCCGGGCCAGGGCGGCCCCCCCCACACCCAGGCTGGGGCGGCCCCCCCACACACCCAGGCTGGGGCAGTCATCCCTAGTGTCCTCTCAGCTGACACTTCTGCTACCTCACCTTGCTGTTTTTAAAATTTTTTTTTCAATCTTTATTTTTGAGAGAGAGAGAGAGCAGAGGAGGGGCAGAGAGAGATACACACACAGAATCTGAAGCAGACTCCAGGCTCTGAGCTGTCAGCACAGAGCCCGACACAGGACTTGAACTCACAACCACAAGATCACGACCTGGGCCGAAGTCGGATGCTTAACCGACTGAGCCCCCCTGGCGCTCTTGCCTTGGTCTCTTGTGTGTGTCGCCGCCCTCGAGTGCGGCCACGTGTAAAACCACAGTCAGACGGCTGTCCTCCCCGCAGAAGCAGATGCGCCATGTGACCCGAACCTCCCGCCAGGGTCTCATGGGGTCTGGCGGTCAGGGAAGTGGGCAACTGGGGAAACATCACCAGCGGCCTCACAAGACCCTGCTCTCAACCC